TCAAATTGCTCTTTTTAATCGTAACCCCAGTCTCTCCTCATTCTCTCTCTCTCCGGTGTCTTCAAACAGGAAGATTTATATCAGTGATTTTGAGATTTACTCAATTTTCTGATTGTGCCCCTTTTTAGCCTTCCTCACTGCGTGCACTGATCCCATTCCCTCTAAATCCCATGTTTTATCATTTCCCATCCTGTCTATTTTTTTCGTCCCATTTTGTTCAATTGCCAGGTCTAGGTGACACTTGGGTACTGACTTGCTAATCTCCCCTCCAATTTGCTAATTCAATTCCCACTCCAGTGCCAATAGGAGTAATGTGGACCTCCTATGTATATATGATTTTAGCTAGTTCTTGGAGCTGGCTATCTTTTAACTGTTGTCATGTTGCAATGCTCACATTCAGTAGCAATGGGGGAGTCTATTCTATTTGTAGGATACAGCAAAACATAGAAAATAGTACGTAATGTTCTCTAGCAAATATTAAACCATGTTATTTGAATTTACTGTACAATCCCCTGTTCTGTGCTGCGCACATCACTTATCCATATGGTTCTACCAGCACGAGGAGGCTGTACTGACTCCTTTGTCTCCCTCCTTAGACTGATTCTACAGACTGATACAAAGAAAAGGTTACTTCTGTCAGTCAAGAGCGGGTATGACGACCAAGACCGCAGGAGACAGCTAGTAGGATATAATTTAGTGATGTGTACACCTGGAGATAGATATGTACTGAGAAAGAATCATGTATCGTTTGTCAGGTTATACAATGATAAAGATGTGAACATTTAAAAAGCGGGATTTTTGTGATACAAATATGACATAAATAAGTCGTACAGAAAGAAAATTACAGCTAAACCTTGTTGATTGAACAATCTCTGCAGAAAAATATGTGAAACAGGATTTTTGAATAATGACATCCCATCGAATGCATATCCATGGCAACGATGCTTGTCTAGAAAACTGCAGGGAGGTAGAACCAGTGGATAGCCAGAGGAAGGAAAAGGAAACATTTTTACACATCAGTCTTAAGAAACAAAGTGAAGGCTGGATGAGGTGATGAGAGTGATTGTCTTACTTGTCTTTGCTTTTACAGATACTTAGGCTACAGGAATCCCTGTTGCTTCAGACACCCACTGTGCTCTTCATGCAGGCTTGCATGTGACATCTCCCACATAGTGGTGGAGTCTTTTTTTTTCTCAAAGAGCATGTACTGTGCGTACGGCACTGTAAGAGTTAATTCATGTACATCCTTTGCTATGATTTGCCTGAAAATAAAACACGCTATAAAATGTATAAGTAACAGCTAAGTAACAGCTGTGGCAAAAGGGACCTCGCCACTGGGTTTTGGAGAGGGCTGCTTGCCAGCCTCTCTCCCTGTGACTATGGCCCCTGGGATGTATTGCCCTGTAAAAGTGTTATTTGGGCTTATTGGATTTTTAAAACACTTTTTCTGTCCCTTTAATTCCATGGGAAAATGTGCCTCTTCCCCTCCCACTTTTTCCTGTCCTATTGTTCTCCAGCAGGGCGTTGTCCCAGGTACACCGCCAGACCAGTTGAAACTGGCTGCTTTATCCCTCCTCAATCTCTCATCAGCCTTTGCTATTGTTTAACCCCATGGCAATCCAACTGTATTCATGGGATCTGAGCGCATTTCTGATATATTGAGCGCTCAGATCCAAGCCATCTGGGGATATGTTGGACATATAGGTTAAACATTGTATTATGAGTTATGTATTTTTATGTAGCTTTTGTAACGGTTTTGGACTTAGAGATATTTCCTGTACCTGGAGATAATTGACTTGCCACACCCACTTAAGCCAATTATCTCCAGGATAGAGGAGAAGATAGACCGGCTGCACAGCCTAAATCTGTGGAACTGTTTTGGGCATGAAAGCCATGCTTGCAGTCCGTCAAATATGACTTCCAGCTATCTTCCGAACCACTGGACCAATTTGTATGATTTTTGAATATGTCTGTGCACTGATTATGCTAGTTCAGAAAATATAACTTATGGAACTTGCATGTATAGTTTTGAAGTTGTGAATATTGTGTAAAACTGTATATTTTCTGCCTGTGATAATTAAGTTAGCCCATTGTGTTCCGTAATTGTATCACAGGCAGACGGGAGGGTTTGTGTGCCTTAGCTGGGAGTGTCTGACTGTACTGTACTGTGTTGATTGGCTGTTGTAACTTTGTGTCCTGTGTACCACAAGGTCCACGTGGGTGGTAACCTTGTGGGAAAATGTGTATAAAAGGAATGTCTTTGTGCTCATTAAGAATCTTGTACCTTCATGAAGTTTCGGCTCATGTTTGGGGGATTGGAGAACTGCCTACACTCTGGGGATTGCTATAATCACTATACTCCCTAGAGTAAGCTCTTGTAAGAGCTTGTTCTTGTTCCTGTTCCTGCTTTCTGGAATTCGGAGAGGTCGACCTACTGGAAGCTGGACCCTCATCTTGGGTCCAAAGTGGGTGGAGACGGCGAGACCTCAACAAAGCTGCAGCGGTTCGTGGGGTCTGCAGTACTTATGGTGTCAGATGGGGTGCTTGGAGCCCTCAGGAAGCACTAGGAGCATCCGTCAGGGAGGGTACCCGGTCGGGGTGCCAGAGGTTCCGTTACAATAGCTAACTTTTAGTTTGTTATTATCTTGGGCTTAAAGTGAAAAAGCGACAGCTTCTTAATCATTATTATTATTATTGGTATTTATATAGCACCAACATATCCTGTAGCGCTTTACAATGTGACTCAGCAAGCTAGAGATATAGAAACATGAGAGGGGGCCATGATAATATATGCAAGGTTAGGAAGCTGGAAATGTAACTCGGGGAAGATGTGTGCACTCAAATTATGGCTGCTACATGCTGCATACACTGCTGGGGACTTTGTATGGCTTAGTGGAGGTGACTATGGAGGGGGGATTGTTGTAATGAGTAGACCAAAGGTATTAAAGGACAGAGTAGCTCTGCAGAGGGGGAGTATGTCATGGAACTGTTTCCTGTACTAACCTATATTGATAAATAAAATACTAGCACATTGATGTACTGTGAAGATAAAGCTAGTTTTAAATGTGTTTTATACTGTCCGTGTGGAGTGATGATTGCCCTTAAAGCAACTATGTCTATTGTCAGAGTTTATACGCTTTGCTGCTCTCCGTCTCAAAAATAAACACTTGTTTTCTGAGAAAAGATTCCGGTTACACACTTTCTGGACTTGATTCGGTAATAAAGACGCCAGTGTCAGTTAATTAGAGAACAGGTGGAATAAAATATAATTTCATACTCTTATACAACAATGTGCGATGAGCTCAAAGTCATTTTAACATTTAACAACATTTACAAAAATTGTTCTTTTTCTTTCATTTCTCCGTATATAACTAAAGCCATTCTATTCCCTTTTACAGGCAATCAGTCTTCACCCTTGGCTTCCGTGGAAGGTTTTAACTTGACCAAGAAGAAGTGGGAGATTCTCCCATCCATGCCTACCGGACGATGTTCCTGCTCAAGTCTACAGTCCAGCAACATGCTGTTTGTAATTGGCGGTATCGCCCAGGGACCTAGCAGTGCAGTTGAAGCCTTGTGTGTTCTAGAAGATGTTTGAGTAACATTTATTTTTAAACAATCTGAATGAGAGTTAGTATGTTGGAGTGGAACAAGTGCCTGTATCTTTTACTAAGCAGAAGACAAGCCCAACATTGATGGAGAGGATTTGCTCCCAAGTAGCAGTCTCACTACACCATGGCAAATGTTTATTCCTTATGGGTAAGGAAACATGGAGCAATACTACAGATGAAATTGGAATCCCAGGAATATAGAACTCACAGCGATGGCCATGTCATTCTGGATATGTGACATTTGCAAGCCTTGATCTGTTGGTTAATACCAATATTACATGTTATTGTGTAGACTCTAAGATGTACAGTATATTAAATACATAAATGGAAACATTTAATATATGAAAACAGACTTGCAGATGTTCAATGTGCAACTTATCGATTAGGGTTAATTAAAGTTTTGACTTACCTGCTTTTGATTTCCATAATGGTAGTTACAGGTTTAACGAAGCGCGTTTAAACACTTATTTCTCAACTGCTTTAAGGGTATCCTTGTAGCTGGAATAATTTCCTCAGAAGAAATCTAGCTCACACTTCATGGGGGCTTATCAATAAAAAGTGAGTTACAATACGTTAACTCCTTTTAAAAGATTTGGCCAAAAATGTTTAGCAGAACCTGGTGGGTTTTACCATATTCCAGAGCATGGTACAATAAGAAAATATACATGTCAAGTATAGGACCCAGGAGAAGTGATGCCCTGTTCAAATGAGCTGAGAATCTAAAGGAAGTGAACGATAATTACAATGATGCTTTAATAATGTATCCAGGAGAACGAATATATGAAATCCGGTGCAGGACACTCAATGTCTCCTGTCCCTAAATTGGCTGGGTCTACTGCAGCTGAAGATAAATATTATAATAAAGAAAACACTTTTTCTTTAAATCAGCAAAACTGGTTTTATTGCAGTAACAAAGCCATACACACACAGCAGCAAACAAGTGATCGACTTTCAGACCTCTTCCAGAGCTTTTTCAGAGATAAAGTGCAGACAATAATGTTCCGGATATAACTACTTAAAATTTGGAGTAAAAAACTGCAGTAATGACTGCTCAATGAACATTTAACAGCTTAGCTATTACCAGGGATTAAAGGAATGAAACCTCAGCCAAATGCCTAATACAAAGTATGGCCACTGCACAAAACCCAGTATTAACAATTAATAGGTGTATCAATAGAGACTAAATAAAGTGCCTGTAGTCACTTAACCCCTTAAGGACCAAACTTCCGGAATAAAAGGGAATCATGACATGTCACACATGTCATGTGTCCTTAAGGGGTTAAAGTACATACAATGAAAAGTGCTGGATGAGTCAACCTTCACGTGGGATTTTTAATAAATTAAATAAAGTGATGTGCAGATAGATATTCTTAAGAAACGTTTCATGAAAAATTTTCACCAAGGTAAAACAACAGTCTTTTTGACACAATATGCACCCAAGTTTGTCCTAACCTACAAAAATTCATAGGTCAAGAAAGTCTATATCAGAATTCTTCAAGACTCCATCCAGCCATATTAAAAAGGATTTTTTCTATTTTGGAAGAACACTCAAGGTGCCCAGTTTTTGTTACCACCACGTAGATGAACATGTTGGCTAAAGGAAGTTTATTGTGAGTAAAATGGTTCCACTATCGGGGTTATGGAAAAAAATCATTTTGAATTCTCACTGTAATAACCACATATGTCTTCAAAAGTGCCATACTAAATTTGTAGATGTACCTGAAAGATCATTTGGATTTTATTTCACATCTGCCATGGAAGAAACGAGCATACTATCACACAACATAATTTCGGACTTGAGGTTTACTGATGATTTTATTTGGGTTGACCTATGGAGGAAGTTTATGCTTTAAATATCTCAAATAAGTTTACATGCCGCTTTGATTGTGAGAGCATGACATTTCTTGACCTATTAATTTTTGTACATGGGAAAAATAACTAGGGAATACTTTCTGTCAAAATGACACAGATAGCAAAACACAGTTGTATGCAAGTCAGACACTCCCCTGTGTTCATACTCTACCATAATCCCGGTATCTCCAGGTCATCAGGGATAATTTGAACGAGGCCAATTGTAATCAACAGCAGTTTTTAATGAGGGGATATAAAAAGACAATTCAAAATTAGGTCACAGTCTGCAGTTCAGGTTAAAAAAATCTAGACAATCAAACAAAAGATTGGAGTTAAGTAAAGTATTTTAAAAGGACTAAACCACACTGATGAATGTCACCTGATGTATTTAAATAAAAAATGATATGTGTTTTAACCTAGTGTTACGTAAACTAACGTATTGAATCTCCTTTGTAAAACAGACCCACAACATTATTCTTCTAAACCATACATAAGTATTAAAGTATTAAAGTTTCCCTTGCTAATATATTTCCCTCTCAAGAGTTAAATTAAAGAAAGAAAGAGAGAAAGAAAAGCTTGCCTGCAATCCAACACCAATGTCAAGTTCTCCTGGCAGCCTGATCTTTCTGCAGTGACGGTGGAAGGGGGTCCTGGAGGACAGGCTAAAGAGAAGACTTGGGTGGAACGGAGGCACAGTGTCACCATTGGTTGTCTGTCACCACCATGCTATGCATGTTGATGATAGATGCCAAATATGCACAGAATTGATATTAACCAGACCAAAACTCTTGTTCCAGGCTGGCTAACAACACTGCTAGAGGTAGAGTTATACAACCATCAGCCAAGAGCTTCAACTTTTTATGTGCAGTGTTTCATTGAGAAGTGCTGCACTTATAGGCTCCAGACACCATGAACACTTCAAATCACTGAAAGGAACACTGTAGGCACCCAGATCACTTTAGCTCATTGAAGGGGTCTGGGTGCATTGTTCCAGGCCACTTAACCCTGCAATGGTAATTATTGCAGGTTTTGATAAACTGCAATAATTACCGTTATGGGTTAACTCCACCTCTAGTGGCTGTCTACCAGATTGTCACTAGAGGGACATTTACTTTTTATCTGGTAACTGACATACTATGCATAAGGACATCTAGCGTCACCAGCGGCGTACATACCGCGGTCGCATGGGTTGCAGCTGCGACCAGACCCATCACTCCAGGGGGCCCAGCCGCCCTGCGGATCCCTGCGACCGGGTACCCGCCGCCATCTTTTGCCACCAGGGGCCACCGTCCAAGGGGTCCATCGGGTGGCCCATGCTGTTAGGGCCACCCGATGGACATGGATTGTCAGGAGGCTCGGTCAGCGCTGGGCGCTTTAACCGTGCGACTGGGCCCCCTGTGATGACATCACTGCTGGGAGGAAGTGACTTCCCCGGTCACTCCTCCCAGCATGCAGAGAGCCAGCTACCACTGGACCCCAGGGAATGTCACCCTCCTGCACCTAAAAGGTAGGAAACGAGGGTGACTTAAATATTTTGTGTGTGCTTGTTTGTTTGTATGTGTGTCTGTATGTATGTGTGCCTGTCTGTATCTGCGTGTGTCTTTGTATGTATGTGTGTGTGTGTGTGTCGTGTGTGTGTGTGTCTGTATGTATGTGTGCCTGTCTGTTTGTATTTATGTGTCTTTGTATGTATGTGTGTGTGTCGGTCTGTATGTATGTATGTGTCTGTATGTGTCGGTCTGTATGTGTGATGTGTGTGTCAGTCTGTATGTATGTGTCTGTATGTATGTGTATGTATGTATCTATCTGTCTGTCTATGTGTATGTATGTGTGTGTGTGTCTGTCGGACGGGGGGGGCCCACGGATCAGTTTCGCAGTGGGGCCCCAAGAGTTGTGTGTACGTCACTGAGCGTCACCCAAACCCCTATAAGAAAGCATTATACATGGTTTCCTACAGGGGAAGTCCTAATGTGAGCACAGCACTTGACGCCCATGTGCATTAGGTCCCTCCCCCCACCCCGGCTAACACAAACACCACCCAACCGCACACAGTACCCCTGATACACAGCGCCTCTCACACACAAAGAACCCCTCACACACACACACAGTGCCCCCAAATGCCCAGGCGGATGCCTTGTTTGCCTTGTGTCCTGGAGGTCTCTAAAGCTGGCCGGCTGGCCACTTTTGAGACCCCCCGAGGCAGGCAGCAGCTTCTATTGTGGCGGGCAGCGAGGGAGCATGCTCACCTGAGCTCTTCCTGCTCAGCTCCCTCGTGCGACGCTTAATGAAGCTGGGAACCGGAATATGACATCACTCAGGCTCCCGGCATCACTGAGCGGCACGCGAGGGAGCTGAGCAGGAAGATTAGAGCTCCCTCGCTGCCTACTCTGCCTGTCTGCCCCCTACCTGCCCGCGCAGCAGCCCCACTGGACCACAGGTAAGTAATCCACTCCAGCTCTCCCAAGGAGGCTGGGTGGATTTAAAGTAAAATTTTAAAAAAATTATAGGTAATAGGAGTAGGTGATGTGTAGAGTCCCAGAAGGGGAAACCAACATCAGGATAGCTCCACTGTATAAGAAATGAGGAAGGGAGGCCCTACCTTTAAAAAAAAAAATTATAATTTGTGAGTGTTGGGGGATATGTGTGTGTGTCTGTCTGTAAGTGTATGTGTCTGTCTGTAAGTGTGTGTTTGTCTGTAAGTGTGTGTGTGTCTGTGAGTGTGTTTGTCAGTGAGTGTGTGCGTGTGTCTCTAAGTGTGTGTGTGTGTGAGTGTGTCTGTCAGTGAGTGTGTGCGTCTTGTCAGTGTGTGAGTCTGTCAGTGTACACGTCTGTCAGTGAGTGTGTGCGTCTGTCAGTGTGCGCGTGTCTGTCAGTGTGTGTGTCTGTCAGTGTGCGCGTCTGTCAGTGTGTGCGTCTGTCAGTTGGTGCGCTTCTGTTGTGGGTGCGCATCTGTCATTGTGTGGGCGTCTGTCAGTGTGTGTGCTTCTGTTGTGGGTGCGTGTCTGTCAGACTTTGTGCATCTGTCAGTGAGTGTGAGTCTCTGTCAGTGTATGTCTGAGTAAACGTATGTGTCTTTCAGAGTGTGTCAAATCAGTGAGTGTTTGTGTATGTCCTTGTTTGTCAGTGTATATGAGTGTGTCTGTCAATTAGTGTATGTGTCTGTCAATGAATGTATGCATCTGTCAGTGAGTGTGTGCGTCTCTCAGTGTGTGTCTGAGTATTAGTGTGTGTCTGTCAGGGTGTGTCAAATCAGTGAGTGTGTATGTCATTGTTTGTCAGTGTATATGAGAGTGCGTGTCTGTCTGTCGGTGAAAGTGTATGTTGGTTAAACAGTATGTGTGCCAATGACTGTATATTTTAGTGAGTGTATGTTAGTGAATGCATCAGTAAGAAAGTGTCAGGGTTTCTTTGCTGTTTTAAACAGCAACCCTTCCTTTTTCAGTGTCTGAGTTTTCAGCCGAGATTAACGATCAGCTCCTTGAGTATGTTGCCACGGTTACTCACCTGATAGTAGTAACCAGCCCTGCTGCTAATCAGTGCAGCCTATTTAAGCAGTAAATCCCAGTACCTCCTTGCCTTTGTGTAGTTTTCTGTTCCCCAGAAGTCTCCTTGTTCCTGTGTTTCATGTTTGTTCCTGGTTCCTGACTCTGGCCTTGTTCCTGACTCCGCTGCTCTCCGTTCTCCTGATCCTGGCTCGTCTGACTACCCACTCTGGTGACTGACCCCTGCTTGACTCCTGGACTTTGCTTTTGGTTATTTCTTTAATTGTTATTTATTGATAAAGGTGTTTTTCCATCTTGTTCTGTCTCTGTCTGGTTCCTGGTCCCTAACAGAAAGTGTCTGTCAGTCAAAGTGCGGCCTGGACAGGAAGGGGTGGGGGAAATATAAATATGGGGCGATGCCCATCCTGCCTAGGGCAGCACAAATCCAAAATACACCACTGCTTGCACCTCTTTTTATAAATTGAGACTTACACATATACGAGACAAAAGAAAAAAGAACCAAAATGTAGCAAGAAGTGCAGTAAGAAATGTTTTGGCACAAATCAGTGAATCAATAGGCAGAAATAGGTATAGCACTAGAGAAACATGTAAAAAAGTGAACACTGCGCTTTTTATACATAATCCCCATTGTTTATCTTTCTCCTCATTTGCATTATGTGCCTTGGCTATGCCTTGACTGAACTGAATTGCAATGTAATTTGCTAAATCTTTAATATAAATTTTAAATGAAAAAGAAGCATTGCATAAAAAAAGGTGAACACAGATTATAGGTGATTTTCAATTTGTTATTTAATGGTATGAAAGGAGAAGTTTTCCTTTTAGCCACGTTTCTCACCCTTTCTGTAACAGAAAACGATTAATTTCACAATTTACTAGTCGAGTCACCAGTTTATTCAACAAGCACTTATAATATCAAAAAATTCCTATCAAATACTAGATCTAATTTGAACTTATATATTTATATGATGTACTTAGTGTTTTAATAGTAGCTGGCGTTGCAAAACTGCTATTTTTAAACTGCTACCAAAAATGTGTGGGAGAAAAGTTCCAGATCAGGTAAATAAAGAAGATGTATTCTAGACTTTGTTCTAATGAAATCTCCATCAGGGGGCTGATGCAGGTGCTCTATAGATAGGTGGAGTGTGCAGCTCTAGGCTCCTCCCCATCAGGTAGATTCCCACCCCACAAATGGCACTAGGTGGCAGAGAGGGCGGGGCCTAATGAGAAGGGGCAGGGTCTACCAGTGAATAACCCTGTAATTGTAACAGTTACATCAAGGTTCAATCAATGTTTCTTGTAGGGGAGCCATGTGCATTTATACCCAGATCACTGTGGAGTACCTTGTTTTATACAGTTGCAAGAAAAAGTATGTGAACCCTTTGGGAATGATATGGATTTCTGCACAAATTGG